ATAGATATAATGTATTCAATGTTTACCTAAGGGAAGTTTAAATATCTTGTGATCATGTGCGAATGATTAAAAATGTAAATAATGTGTTAAAGTTAAATTAAGCCATTTTTTCCTTATGAACAACAGATATATTCATTTATCAATGGATACGTATAAATTATTTTATCACCTGATTCAAATCTCTTTTATATCTCTCATGAGATAATGGCTCTTCACGAATCAAATAACGACGCTGGAGCTAAAGATAATAGAACAGCAAACTTTCGGTAATTATTACTTTAAATCACCGCACTTTACCGTATTTACTTTCTTCGTAAAATGTTACAATCACGCTACATGCTTGATACGTGTATTTCGTTCCTCTTCAATATTACCAATTCATGAAGTTAAACCTTGAAGCACTGTGGAAATTCTATGCAGAAAATCGTATTAAAAACGCAAATACACGTTTACATGAACTTCACAGCGAACAGTGTCGGATGAATATTCATTGAATAAAAAATTTGCGGTCCCGGTGACGCGAAGAATTTCAACGATTCGCCGCAAAACTTTGGTTTGCGTACGAGTTGATCGGAATCGCGAATACCGCTATTCACGGCGGTGTATTTAGAATTCGACCTATTAACTGAAAATTTACTCTACGTACCACGGGAAATGGTGTATCCTTCCTTCCACAGATCTGAATGAGGTTAAATCGCGAGCGTCGCGATGTTTCGTACGTGTCACTGGACAAAGATAGATTGAACTGTGAGTTTGCTGAGACCCGGTTAAATTAAACCGTGTCTGTCTGACCGAGGTCAGGGTAAAACCTACTGACGCGCACTCTCGTTCTTTCTGCGTCGTATTTGCTTGCGATGCGCGTCTCCTCGGGGTGTTATGTTTCTCTCCCTCCTTTTTCGTTTTCACATATGATCGTGCTTGAGTATGTATGCCTTGTATGTACACGCATCATCCCCCTCCTTGTACATATGTACGGCTTCGTTATCCGTTAAGAAAAAGTAAACGTGACAAAAATCTGATCTGTTTTGATCCGAGGTTTTCTAACCTCTTTATTCGAAAAGTTAAATTTACCTGTTGTTGACTGTTCGTTTCCTCGTTGATTAACAAACGCACAATCTGTTCGTTAGTTTAATAATTCACTCTTCATTCGTGTATTATGTGCTTCATTCACTCAGGAAATATTAAGGGTTCAAAAGAGAAATCTTGAAAATGTATACACTTCATGCGCATGCGCACTTCAACTAACCCTTTTTAAAAATACGTCGCACTAAAACATATTTATTGATAAAATTAATCTGTATTAATGCGTATATGGGTATTTTAAGGTTAACAAAAAAATATGATATTATCTTTTCCTTTCTAGATATGTTGTTTGAGTATATGTATTTGATAACACGGTGATCATATTGGATGTGTCATATCCGACACGTGTTTATTGATTATTCATTAACTGCGCATATCTAATAAATTTAATATTTTCAAACTACAGAAATATCTTGAAATAATTAACAATGTCTCGCGATCTTATTATACACGATATCAGATATACTGTAAACGCGATAACAAACGTTGAAAAAGAAATGAAAGAATTGATCGTAATAACTTCGCATTCATACCTCTTGTCACGTGAGAACGTGTGTATCATGCACATATATGCAAAAACTGTTTCTCGTTTTATTGAATGCGTACCTTGCCTTGTGATCTCCACTTCTTTTTTTGTTAATCACAGTTGATTTGAACTTATTATTCGCATAAATAACACTTGCAACATAAAATACCGGGGAATAACGATTAACAGTGAAGTAGCACCGGCGACATGATGGCGCATGCGTACTAGCGTTCTCAATTGCTTTCGTAAGAATATTTAAATTGAAGATACGTTAGATCTAATTAATGCGTAAAATAAATAGATAAGGTGATATTTTTAATGTGTGAGCTTTTTTTTAACCTACGTAATACTATAGCAAATACTGCCAATCACAAAATAACACAAACTCGAGATTACTGAAGCAGACCGGGCAATGAATTTCTTTTCTGCGAGTTTATAACTCGATTTGTACATACGTATATACGTTATGTATATGTATTCAAGGTGTACAACTTGTTAGGTTAAGAGAAAACCAAGAGATGGGGCTCTTTCGAATACCGGCAGAACAGTGTTTGAAAAAAAACTAGTTTCTTTTGACACTAACTACTCGTCAAATTATTTAAATATATCACATTCTGGCATTCTGAGTCTCTGCGAGCAATTTGTTTTATTGATAACGAGTAAATGGTTTGTTTCCTAAACGATGGTAAATATAATTCTAAATACTTTATTGTAATATTTGACCACTAATTGTCATAATACAACAATGGTGGACGCGTGTTGAATGCCTGTACAGGACAATGGGAAATCGATATGGCATAGATATGGTACGTGTCACTCGTATGTTTGAAAGCGTTTGTTCACGTAGTCAATGCGTGATTGAGTGATGAGTGCAACACGTCGAATTCTGAAGAATTGGAAGCGGAGGTCAGGCATTACGCCAGCATTGCGAAATGCCGGGAATAGGGATCTTATGATCTTGACTAGGAACAACGACCTGCCAACCCCACTCGTATTTCTACGGGAAATGAGTGAAAGAGGGACAGAGAGGGAATCGATTAATTTTGCAATTGACATTAGGTTTGTCGATACCGTGGCTTTGAATTACCGTCTGAAATTAATTTCCCTCTTAAAGCAAGCACATCATACCTTCATTCCTTCCTTTTTGAACAGCATGAAACGACAGGATAGCGAGAATAATATCAAGAGAGGGAATTTAATGGTAGATGACGTGCATCTTTACTTCATACTTAATCAACCGGAAATGTTACACGTGTTGTTCAACGAGTCTTGATTTTCTGTCGAAATGAAGGTACATTTTAAAATTTAATAATTGTTTTTCGTTGGAAAATTTATAAAATATTAGATAAATACTGTACAATAGTTTTCCTGAATGACACACGTATGGAAAAAGTGATTCGTCGTTTAGAAAGAATTTCAAAAATATATGCAACCACTTACAGCGGTATAGCTATGATTTATCTAAACATATCTGTCACGAGTTTTTATACTCTTTATACTTATTTATGAATCATAATCATTTGATCCATTAACGATGTATCTTTGTGAGCATTTAATTTTGATCGCTATATCATGCTGTTTATTCATGTTGCGCTAATGTAATTATCGGAGTTTAAGGTCATTGAATTGACATTTGCCTTGATTTATGCGTGCTCGGAAATTAAAAATGAATGTATCCTAATGTACATTTCTTATATGTGTATACTATGCTCAGTTTTCACTTTTCGATCTTAAATATTCTTTTCAGTTTTTTAATTGAGCATAAAATATTTAAACATTTATTAAATGTATCTCATCGTTTATTCTTTAACGTGTAGAAAACGCAGGGTCGGCCCTGGGCCTAGGGAGACTAGGCGGCCGCCTTGGGCCCCCAAGGTCCAGGGCCCCCATATAGGACAATTTTGCGCAGTGGCGGCTCGCATATAGGCAGCACCTTATGGAACTGTAGAACCGCAGCACCCCCTTTTCCACTTAAAATTTTTTATTTAATTTTTTCTTTATACTTGTACAATATATAACCCTTAAACTTAATATCAGTAGCCATCCCCCAGTTTATGAAAAAGATACAAAAATCTTTGTATGGAACTGCGCATCACAGTTCCAGCGGCGTGGCGTTTGACTGTGTGCGCATGCGCACATAAGAAGCTGCAGTTTTTTAAACAAAGGCTAAAAATTTTCTGGAGCAGCACCCCCACTAATTTTAGCTACTAGTCGTCACTGATTTTGCGTCTAAGAGTAATGTTTACTTGAATATTAATCGATGTAAATGCAAATCTAAATTAGTTATACAAGCTTTAATGTTAATTTTATAAATTTTATTTGAGCTACTTTTTTTATGTCATATATATGAAGGGGCCCTTTTTCTCGGGCCCCCGAAATTTCAGGGCCGGCCCTGATAAAACGTATAGTAATCACAGAAAGATATCTTTACCGACATTACCAGATTATTTGTTCAATGTATAAAAGCAGATGGCGCTGATGTGTCTTCAGCATCAGATAACGCGTAACAACACATTATGTATTATTTGAAAAGCAATACGATCTTTTTTATTTTCATTTTTATCTTTCAGCATATACGAAAAGTAAAACTATTGACATTTAATATACACGTTATTTTCTACGAATAAATTATTGTTTATCATTTTCATTTGTAGGTCTTGTATCGGATATCTATCGCACAGGGGTAATTAGCGAAACGTATGATTTTGCATTATCGCATCATCTGTAGCTGAACAGAGGTAAATGAATAGGTATTACATTTCGACGTATGCTTTAGCGATCTCGTTGAATCGAAACGATAGCTCGGTATCACGAGAACATATCAAATTTAATTAAACCGAGTCACGTTAATGTTTCACCATGTTAAAAACCTCCACGACGATTATTCTTCTGATTATAGATTTATGACGGAATTACAGTCGTAAGTCTGGTGTATTTTTTGGCGCTTATATCCTCCTGAAATTATGTGAGAATGACTTTGGCAAACCGCCAATGTTCCCCGGACTGTGCGGAGACAACATGTACGGAGCAATGAACTTTAGGAAAGCGTGACTTCGGACAAGATTTTCTCTCTTTTCTTTTCGACGGATTTTTAGTTGTATAAAATTCCAACACAATTCGATTGTTCCATTTTCTTTATTCACCGCCGCTTTCCACCGGCTATTCATCGTTGTATCCGAAGCGTGGAGATACCCTTTGCGTTTCCGTTCGCCGCATAGGAAACACAGGAAGAACTACCCCTTTTTATCCGTCTCCCTTTGAATCATCGTTTTCTAATATAACGTACAAGAGGTACATTCAACGAATGCTCACACAGAATTAATTGAATTACCAAGTAGAAATTAAATATTTTACTTGACCGCAGGTTGTTGGCCACCCTATTCTTGTAAAGGAAGCCACAAACTGCCTTTGACCATAATGCTCTTAACAAGGCGTAAAAGACATACATAGTATTCCCAGCAGTGGACTCAAAACATTCCTGACATCGCATACTGATGGTGGTCGTGAATCTGTAGTTAATTACACACAAAGGTACAGCTTGCCATTCTTTTATAAAATTAACAACATACCGTATGTAGGTACCTGTATTCTCTCATTAAGAAAACCTTTCTAACATTTTTCAATGAATATACTAACATGTAATTATTTAATTTTACAGGTCCGATAGATGCAATCAACTGCACTACCGTGCTTCCCTAATGCATCACATCCACATCGAAATCTACATCTACGTCAAGGTTAGTTGACTCGAAATAATTACCGTATTTATCTCGCATATTACCATAGCCAGGTATGCATACACGCCTCCATGCACGTAGATACAATCTCAGGACTAACTTTGTTGAAAGTAATTTTCAGTAAGTAAGAATAATCTGGCGTTCGCGCGTGGCTTGGAGGTTTCGTCGGTCGTAGTTGGGGCGCTGCCTAGGCTGCATGTTAGGGTTGGAGTCGAGAGGAGCCATGGAGGTTTGGGGTTGACGGGATGGTGGTAGTGACGGCGGTGGTGATGGTGGTGGCGGTGGTGGTGGAAATGGTGGTGGTGAGTGAGCAACTGCGCAGATCCCGAAGTCCCTCAGCCGCGAGTACGTAGCGAAACTCCGATTCAGTGAGGACTGACTGTTCCTGTTTGCAGTGCAGCTCGAAATCTCAGGGAGAAACCGCGGTCTTTCGTCCTCTCCTCCTTCTTTCTCTCTCTTTCTCTTTCTCTCTCTCTCTCTCTCTTTCTCTTTCTATCTCTGTCTTTCCTTCACCCTTTCCGCTAATCTGTCTCATCCCCCGTCTCACCCTCTTATCCCGGCGTCGCTTCACCCGTCCTTTGTTTTAGTTTCACTCGCCGCGGCAAAGTACGTGCTTAACTTTTCCATTCGGTCGTCTATTTCGACGAAGTTCGTACGCGATCGTCGCGTGCTACGGAAGAACGGTGCCCCGATCCTCTTCGGAGGCGTTTTCGACGGCCAGTCTGCTCGTGTACGCGAACGGAACGGGTCGTAACTGTACCGGTGTCTCGCGTAAATTTCAAGTGTTCCCAATCGGTAGTCACGTGGTTAGGAAGGAACAGTGATTCTGAGGTAGATCTATCCAGTTCGGTTCGTTTTAGACTGTCTCACCGTGGCCCGGATGAAACTGTACGCGTGCCAGTTGATCGGCGTTCATTGAACTGTTGGACAACCGGAGCCGGAGCCGGAGCCGGGGATCAGGGAGCCGTAGGACGTGTGCCGTGTGTGCGAAATCGACGGTGGACCAGGTCGATGTGCACAACTCCGGGGAAACGTACTGAAACTCCACGTCTGTCGGTGTAAGTACACGTCAACCCCTTTTTCGCACGTTCAACGCTAACAATGAGTCACAGACGTCCGGCAAGTCAGCTGTACCTGAAGCTCTTATGGAAAGAATTGCCTGTTTCTTTCACAGCGACGGTACATTATGTTCTGCCTAATATAATTAACCCTTTGAAAGCGTGCCAAAAGCGACCGACAATAAGTACGGTCGAACCGACGCGTATATTTTCTTTCACCTACAATATTCGCTATAATCGTTACAAGGAATTGACTCGCGTTGCCTTTTGTTTAACGAGCAGACTTTGTGCGGTATATTCCACGCACGGGATATACTACCCCGTATCGTCACTCGCATCTACCAGACGCGTTAAACCGTTAAAGGGTTAATAATTACACTCTATATACCACGCATCCTCGTCAACTATTCATAAACTGCATAAAATTCATTTTAGTAGAGGAAACGAAGATAAAGACTCGGACGAGTATTCCTTAGAAAACGTATTTTCCGATAGATCTAATTAAAGATGAAGGCTCGGATATCAATACCGCGTTCGATTGAACCGTCCGGTCCGTTCTATCGGCATCTCTGTAACCATAGCTATTCTCAATACGAGAATTATTGAGCACAAAGCTTAATACGATTTCGTAAAAATCCGCGAGCACAATAGGGGCCACGGTTCAGTGGTTTATCGTTGAGCGTGGATAACAGCCGACGAGTTTGCCTGACCGTTAAATATATTAAATCACCGATCGTCGCCAGAGAAACGTATATTTTGGAAGTAGAGCGGTGGCTCGAATTTCCTACTGAATTTCCTGATATCGATGCGGCAAAGGGTGGAATACTTCTAATCCCGATAAGTCTTACTCAGAGGGTGAGACCGGTTTTAATGAAATGCACCCTTACCCCGTTCGTTGCGATATTACTATTTTTCCAGCCGACGTGAAATCACCCTAAAACGCTCCTCTATTATTAACACGGACTTAATATCGGGGCGGTGGTATTAAGTACGAGACGGAATGCAACCCCTTGTAGTATGAAATTTTGATTCGTTGCAAGGAATCGTTGAACGCGACGGCGATACGCTAACGCCCTAAGTAGTATCGGTGAAGTTCATAAATCATGCGCACGTCCACTCGTCGGTAGACAAACACTTCTCTGCTCTCCTTGAAATGTCCGATTAATAATGTGCGACGTGTGCACCCTGCGAAGCGGATTGCGAATCGATCTTGCGAATCGCGTTTAATATCGCGACAAACGTTTGCTCGTCGCTCTTCTCTCGACTGATCTTCTTTAACGCGTACATCGTATTGTTTCCATTCGAAGCCCTAAATATTCTTTCGGAGGCGTACTATGGATTATTTACTCCATTAGAGACGCGGTTGTAATATATTTCGTGTAATTAATTAGTTGATAACGTTTGCCAAACGCTTGGCATCGTTTCGGCTTGATCAATTTTACCGCGAATTCAAATTTTCCCGCGTAAGCATTTACCTGCGAGTAGCGGTCCGCCACAGGCCTATATATACGAGGCCTCCTCTGACACATCGTCAGTCTCCCTGGGACCGCCGCCGGGGACGGATGGGATCCCGGGGGAAGAGAACTCTCCAAGGAGGATTCGAAACTGTTTTTTATCCAGATATTTCTAATTAAAAATTCAAATACTCGCGGTCTCTAACGACCAGCGGTTTTAAAGATACATAATTAAAGTCGACGTCTAAATATAATGACCGATGCGATTGCTCGAGGAACGATCTCGCGACGAGACAGAAGAGTTGCTCGGAGTTCTTAACAAGAGAAAAGCGAGAAGAAAAGGGAGGAAAGTATGATTATCGGTAGGCCGTCGCGTTTGCTCCTCCGGTTTTTATCGTTTTATCGTCGCTCGACGGAGGGAAGGATGAATGGGAATAGAGAGGGAACACCGAGATACTCGTGAGAAATTTTAATAACCGAGGGGACCGTGGGTCCTACGGTCGGCTACTTTTTCTATGCCCGTCCTCGATCGACTTCCAACGCTCTCTGTAAATCGCAACGCACCTGGTGCGACACGGATGAACGCACCCGCTCGTGCACCCTGCTCTCTGATTAGTTTCCTCCTGGCTGGAGAAAAGGTATTCCCCCGAGCGATTGTATTAAAATCCGTGGCTTGTGAAAATGGGCCACAAATGCGAGCGCAAAAAGGCTTAAAAAAGGTGGCGGGATAAAAGCGCAGCCGGGACAGTTTATGTCCGACCGAGGAATTTTTCGCAGCTACCGCGAGCTAGCGATAAAATAGAACAAAAAGAGGAATAGGAACGGAGCTGACGAAAGATAGAGGAAACGAGGACGTTAAGCGTTGTAAATGCGTGTACGGTGAAACATTGTTGAAGAACTGGATAGAAATTAATTAAAGAACTAAAGTCTTCTTTGTAGAGCTAAGAATACATTCACTTTTCCTAGGGAAAGGGTTGATGAAAAGTCACGAATTGAATCCATTACCATGTACAGTAAATTGGCTTCCACGGTATAAATCCTCGCATATTTACGTTCGAACGCGAATGGAAAGAAGATCGATGCTTGATATTTTTCTTAAGGATTCTAAGGGTACATTAATACAGCAGCAGCAGCAGTATTCAAACGAACTGTCAAAAGAATATCTGTATACCGTTTATTGTGCCGAGCACATCAATGGATACGTTCAATAATATAAAAATAATTGACTCAATTTCAATGGGTCTTTTCAAAATCCACTCTATTTTGATCATTTCAATCTTTCAACATAACCACAATGAGGAAATATCTGAATATCATTATTCTCCATGCACTCGAGTTCAAGTGCCTCCATATAAATGACCAGACCACGAGTGACACGCTTTATAAAATTTCCCAACCATCGCTATCACGGATCAGCGATGGATTTCAATGACGAGGCAGGAAAGTAGGGTAAATTTTAAGTAAGATGTATCTACCTTACTTCATGTAATAACAAAAAAACCTGTAATGGAGTATCTTTTCCACTTGAGAAATGGCAACAGGGGGATAGTCAATTATTCCTTCTCCTCTGAAGTAGCCCAATGAAAAGAGGAAAGTTTTCAGGGTGTAAGTAGTAAATGGAAGTCCACCTGGTCCTCCCTTGGTCTCCGCCTCGTCGGAAGGCATTTGCTTGTGGCTATTGATGCCATTCTCTCTCTCTCTCTCTCTCTCTCCTCTCGAGATTGTATTCTTGCGAGCGGTCGAATTAAGCGGTCGTAGGGCGCGAAGCTCCGGTGGAAAAGCCGAGGGCTATAAATACAAGGATATAGAGGAGGGTGAAACGGAGGTGGAGAGGCGACCGTGTCCTCGGCACAATGCGTGCCGCACCAATCCTATTTTCAGAGATACACATCTCCCTCCGTTCGTACGGAGAAAAAGCAAGAGACAGAGATGAGAGAAGGTGAAATAGAAGAGAAGGATGAAAATAGTGGAGGATGGATAGGGGCCTAACCGCTTTATCCCCGCGTCGAATCGTTTCTTCGAGGTGGCTGCAGCTGTCTCCTCGTTTCTTTTAAAGTCCATCCTTCCTGACTTCACCGATCCGATCCAAAGGGAGAAGGAAGACTGGAGATGCAGGGTACATCGATGATGCTCGAAAATCCTCGCTTCCAACTCCCGTACACACGGTTCCACGTGTATTTTCGTCCACTGGCACAAATATTCGATTCTAGAAATAAGCCAAAGACGATCGACTACTACGTGTGTTCGGAAGAGTAACGAGGAAAAAAGTAAGGATCTTCTCTCGATGCGTGACAAGAATACAAATTATTTCTACAACTATTAATCTTATCTCTTTGAAAAAACACCCTGTATAATCCTCAATGGAGGAGAATCGTAACGCTACCTGTTGTACGCTGTCGCTGTTCCCTCTAGCCATCGGCGACGTTCTTTATCGCGAGAAAACCGAACAACGAACGACTTCATAATTGAAATTATTTCCACGTCGGTGTTGGGGGTGAGATCCGTTGCCGCCGCGTAACAGATTTCTCTGTTTCGTTGGTTCGCGCACGTGTGGCCCGTCGTCGAATTCGCGTGCACCAGCGAGCTCGCACACAGACATCCAGCCCCGCGAGCCTCGATAAGGGAAGATTTATCGGCCAACTTGCCGTATAAAACGTTACATACACGTACGTTAACCGTTACGGCAGTTCGCAGCCACTTTTCGCGGTGATGTGCCGCGATTTAAGTTTCAAGATAGGGTTCAGGGTGGCGGCAGAAGGGGGTAGGAGGGAGGGGGTTGAACTTGTACCTTGCACTTCAACTTTATACACGACTCAGCCGAAGGGCGGATATCGTGTTTGCCTTTGTTACCAACTTTGTTTGCCGACTGGCTTTGTTTACAGCCCCCTAGGTGGTAGGTCACGGTTCGGGTGATCCACTTGAGAAAGATTTCTTTTGTCTCGAACAACTGCACCATTAATTGACTCGGGACCACAACAACGGCCGTGCCTCCACGTATTCCCGTGGAACAATGCGATTACTTACCACACGACGAACAACATTGTGGAATCGAACAAAGGAATCGGAAAGAATCCCACGGGAACGTGTACGTTGTAAATGGCTAATAAAACCAGCCCCCAACAACTTCGAATCCCGCGTCTCGCGGTCTCGCTGATTAATCGTTCGCTGTTCCTTTAAGACTAATTTTTAGTTATTTATTTAAATCGTTAGATGGAGAGGAAAAAAATGGTTACAGAGAGGTGACCAATTACGGGAGTATCAATTTTACGTGACATCAATTGTTGGATTCAACGAATTATTGGAAATAAATTCGAACCGATAGAGAATAATAGGAGTTATATACTAGGTGAACTGTAAATCATGTTACTAGTGATATAAAGGATCAAAGAGGAATAGTTTGATCCATCAAATTTGATTTAAATCTTGATAAAAATCGGTTGATTTTTTCTATCAATTATCCAAGAAATTTGATTATTGTAATAGTTTCATTCCTCTATGAAATTCATCTGATCTAACTAAACATATTTTTATAACCAAGTTTCATTT